AAATGTAATATAAGATTTTTGTAGGTTCAAATTCGAGTTTGAGCTTGAATCAAGTTCGAGCTTGAATCAAGTTCGAGCTTGAATCGAGCTCGAGTCTCGAGCTCTTGAAATTTTTTTGAGTTCGAGCTTTTTCAAGTTCCAATTGAGTTTCAATATAATATTTCTAGTTCGAGTTGAGCTTGATAATTTTTAGCTCGCAAGTTTTCGAGTCGAGTCGAGCCTAATTTTATACTTTTTCAGTTCGATTCGAGCTCAGTAATACTCAAACTCAACTCGTTTACAGCCCTAGTCCCTTCTTGTCCTTAATGGCTTTCAAACTATAATATTTGTAAAACTCAATTAAAAAAGAAGAAGAAGAGAACTCTCAACAAGTTCATCTTTTCTGGAAAGCCCTAAACCAAATTATCACGTTAAGCAAAGAAACCAAGAGGGGAAAAAAACATAAAGCCAGGAAGAGGTCAAAAGTAATGCGATCAGGAATGGACGTAAACGAGCTATCCTTTTCTAAAAATTTTAAAATTTTAATTTTTTATACTTTTTTAATTATATTCTATTTTTATTTCTAAAATTTTATAAATTTATCTTTTCTTTCCAATTTTATAATTTACGTTCTAATATAAAATCTTTACCTAATTACTTAAAAAGTGACCGAACCCTTTGTTTTCAATTATTGAATATTAACGTGGTAAGTTTTGACTCCACTATCTCGACAGTTTCTACTAGGAAATGTGACCATTATTCTTCAACCTTGACCATTTCCGCCAACATATCAGTTGTTCCCACTTTCCTTCTTTCCACCTTTTTAAGTATTTAAATGGATAAACTATTAAAATGATTACTTTTGTTTTATTTTCTCGATTGATTTAAAAAAATAGTTTAATTATTTACGTTATCCGTTTATAATATTTTAATTATTAGAACATTAAATATTATTAATTTGACAATATTATTTGTTAATAAACAAGGCAAATTTTTAATTTAAGTTTTTAACTTTAGATGAAATATAAAATTAGTCTCGAAATTTTTAGTAGTAAAATTGATTTTAACTCATTTTTCAGGAAAAAAATATATAGTATTGTAGGATAATTGTACATTTTCTCCTATATCGAACCGTGGTCACCTTAACCTCTTATGTTCATTAACACTTAATTAATACTATAAATATTGGTGCATGCATGCTTTCATGTTCCCCACCAAACATACCTCTTCCTCATCATTCAATTCTCTGAACGTGGGTCTAAATTTGAAAATGAAATGCATCAATCACAACTTGATATCATAAAAATCAATTACTGTTGAACATATCAACAACAGTCAACATGAAGCTTTCATATAATCATTTGGTTAAAACTTAAGACCCTTTCTCAATAATAAAAAGAAAACATGAAGAATATGTCATTCGGTGAACTTATGACACGTACAAGTTTGGTATGCTGTACCGAAGGTGAAAGCCCTACCGTTTGGGGCATCTCTTTCTCAGCACCACATTTTAATAAAGACTTATATCTACTTAAAATAGACTTTTTTTTTAATTTTAGTATTTAAAGTATTTTTTATTAAAATAAATACTTAAACTTATCTTTTTAGTCAAAATAGGTATTTAAAGTATTTTGTCAAAATAGGTACACATAAACTATTTAAATTTTTCATCTAAGTTTTAAAAAAATTGACATGTGTCATTAATTAAAGAACACTTTAGGTATTTAAATGAAAAAAAATTGAACATTATAGACACTTATTTTTGACCAAAAAATAATTTAGATACCTATTTGGACTATAAAGATAAATACTGCAATTTAATGCATGTGTTGTGTATATATGAAAGTTCATCGTAATGTTAAAAAAGATCATGATTTAGAATAATTAGAGAGGAAACTTTAATATCTAAGATATTATGAATCAATCACTTATTTCTTATAAAGTATTTAATTCTTTTTAATAAATTTTAAGTTTAATTCCAATCATAATTAGAAGGAAGAGAAAAAAGACTTTAGGAAAAAAAGAATATTATATATAAAACTCATAACTAAAGAAAATATGATAGAATAAACATAAATAGTTTGACCAACCAACTAAATGCAATTACTAAGTAAAATTACTCAATTTAAATTTACTTCAACGAATTAATTTTGATGATAACATCTTGTATTAAGTCATATTTATATCTAAGAAGAATTTTGCACTTTAAATGTAATATAAACACCAACGCATATAATCGAAGTAAGGATAAATTATATCAAATATTATTAATTTTAGGTCGTGCATCTTATTGAGTTTTAAAATATTTCATTTTAGCGTTAAATTTTAATTTTAAATTTAATTAGGATATTTAGTTATTAAATCATTAAGGGTACGTTGATGCCACTGTTTTTCTTGTCAACTTAATTTGTGTATGAATTTTGTCATTAAATTTTAAAATACTTAGCTTTAAACACTGAATTTTAATTTGTATAACAATTTGTCTTGTAAAGAATCATAGACTCTCTAGATCATTGTTATCAATCAATTATCACTTGTCACTGGTCACTATTGTGACAAGATCAGTATTAAAATGTTCACATTTCACTCCTTTTTCCTATGTTGGAGATTAAATTACTGTAAAACGAGACATTAACATTTACTGAAAATATTAAATAAAATAACAAATCAAAACGATAACCGTATCGTGGTAATCCACTGCCTTAAAGTGAATTCAATATAGGGGTAAAATGGTAAAAGATCCAATAACACTTATAAAATAATTAATTGTCATAAACATTATGATTAGTAGGGTGTTAAAAAATACCTGACCCTCCAACCACTTAAAAGATACATAGTATTTATTTTGAAAATACCTGATTTTTCAGGTTGGGTACCTGGCCCGCTAATTTTTTCGGGTTTTTGGTCGATCCGGGTCACAAAATCTCAAATTATTTCACTCTAACATTCAAAATTCCTAATTTCTTAAATTTACCACCATAACATTCCAAATTCTTAATTTCTTAAATTATTTCACATTAACATTCTAAATTATTTTTTGAATTATTTATTTTAACTTTGAAACATTTGAAATTTAATTATATTTTTTTCTTTCAATTATGTAATTTGAATATTTAAACTTTATGTGTGAATTATATATTATAAACCTTTAAATTTTAGAATCTATATATAATATGATTTAAAGAAAAAAATAAAAAAAATTATGAACCAGGTACTCGTGGCCCGAAAATATGGGTACCCGAATTACGGCTACCCGGATGTAATGGGTCGGGACACTGGTCGAGATTTTAGTTCCCTAAAATTTTGAATACCTGGTATTTCGAGTACCAAAAATATAGGTACCAGGTTTTGAACACCCGTAATGACCATTAACTATATTAAATATTTTGTAACAACTATAAATGGTAAAATAAACTTTGATAAATAATATTTCACTTGAAGGATTCTTTTAAAGAAACATATATGAACTAAAGTGGACAACGTAATACGGATCATACCAAATATGAAAATTCTTTGTATTACCAAAATTCCTCTACTAATACAAAAGAATTCTTTTGTACAATGAGAAATTTGAAGTTAAAACACGAAGAGATCAATAACGAGATTACTTTCTTAAACACTAGTGAACGTATCTTGAAGTAGCATATAGTGATGGCGAGTAATTATTCTTTTAGATAAGTTAACGAATCTTGAACTTTCTAAGATTAGGGTAAACTCATAATACACAACTAACCCTTTCATCCACCAAGTCCACGACGTGCCTACAAAGTACACATATGAATATATATATAACCCTCTTTTCTCAGGATTCTAGTAAGTTTACTAGAAAAATGATACAACATTTTTCATAGACGGTGGTTAATCTTTTTCACTTACATAGGTTATTTTATCAGGTTTATCTCAACATAAACTATCCGAAATTGGGCTATGAAATAATTAAGAGTTTTTTAATAATTCATCCTCATAATAGGCATGGTAAATTTCTTCAAGTTTTTTTCTAAATGAATCACCCAAACTCTGAGATAAGAAATCATTAAGAATAAATATTCAATCTCATTAATCGGTAAATTCAATAGGTCATTCTCACTTGGAACACCAAAATTCTTAGGTTTGAATTCATTAAAAGTTTTAAGAAAACTCATCATATGTAGCGGTAAGTTAACATAGTCCTTCACAATTAACACTACCACTAACTTAATATTAGGTTGTGAACTTATTAAGAATATTATTCAGTTAAAGATCGATAAATTCATCAAGTCTTTCTCACTAAAAGTTATCTATATATATACAATAATTTTTTAAAAGAATTATCAATTTTAAAATTAATAAAATTAAATATCAACTTTTAATTTAATTATTTTTAAAATATTTAATTTTAAAATTAATAAATTAATAATTTTAATTCTCTTAATTTTTAAAATTTAATTCATTTTCATTTTAAACAATGAGAGGTGATTATAGTATGATATATATTCATAATTATTTTTAATTATTGGTAAGACACATGAATTTAAAATATCAAAAAAATACACTCTTTAAACTACTAACTAATTTTACTAAATTCGAAAAAATATTTATTTTAAAATTAAGTAATTTAACTTCTCTCACACAATTCGATGCTAACTCCATCTTTGATTAAAGTTATATTAGTGTGTCGAAGATTGACCAAAAAGAGCAAGTATGGAAAACATAGCCTTTCATTTTCAGTGTTTCTCGAGGCCACCCTGTCAAAGAAAGAGGATTTCAGAAGGAACTAGAGGGGTGAGCCGTGGGTGGATTTTTGTTTCGTGGAAAATGATAAAGAGGAAATTACAAATCTATATAGAAAAAAAAAACTAAAGTTGTGGCTGCAAATTGTCCATCATTTTGTTGTATCCCCACTCTACCCATTAACCAATCCTCTTCGCTCACACTCCAAATTCCTCTATCTGAAGCCAACACCTTTTGATTGCAACTGGTACTGTGCCAAATTTACAAATTAATCCCATAAGCAAGGAGAGAAAAACATAAATTAAGTACTTAATAAAAGTAAGTGCCAAAGCTTTCTCTCCCACTTGTCAATCACATGCACTTTTTTTCCTCCGATTACTAATAATAATAAAGGTAAAAGGCGCTCCCTCTTTTCGCAAAAGCTGGAAAGATAAGATTTTTAATCAGACAATAAGGATTCTTCAGGCTATGGTATATAAATATAATTGAGGGGAGATAAAAGGTGGGCCTTGTTTTTGCAAGTTTTAGTTTTGATGAGCTTTGGGAAGATATGTCAGGTGGTGGTTGTAGCATAGTTTGGTTCAGGAGGGATCTAAGGGTTGAAGATAATCCGGCACTTGCAGCTGGTGTTAGAGCTGGCGCTGTTGTTGCAGTGTTTGTATGGGCACCTGAAGAAGAAGGCCATTATCAACCTGGAAGGGTGTCAAGGTGGTGGCTTAAGCACAGTTTGGCTCACCTTGATCTTCTTTGAGGAGCCTTGGCACTTGTCTCATCACAAAGAGATCTTCTGATAGTGTTTCTTCTCTTCTGAGGTTGTTAAATCTACTGGTGCCACTCAGCTCTTCTTCAATCACTTGTATGGTTAGTTTTCTTTCTTTTCATTTCCTCCCTCTTTCTTCGACTGAGAAAAAAGAAAAGAGGAAGATTAGATTTTATATTTTTTTAATCTTAATTTTCGTGTCTGTTACTGTTTGTTGTGTATAAATGTCTAAACTTTATGTATTTTTTTAGTGTTGGGTTCTGCATGGGGATTATCTATTATTTTATTACCTTTTATCCTTCTCTCAAACTTCCTTTTGGGCGTTCCCTATTTTAATCTGTTTCTAATATAATAACCGAGTCTTATGAGATTTGCATCTATCAATATTGATTCTTTTCATTCACTAGGCTCCTCCTGATTGAGTGATTGACTGCTCTCCAATTGCTTATAATTGTGAGATCAGCTGTTTTACAAACAGGCCTTTTTCAATTTTGTTTTGCCAGGAATGTCAAATTGTCTTCTTTGAGTTTGCATATTAACATTCATTTAATTTTGTTGACACCAATAAGATTGACCAGTTCCAGCTACAATGATCATAGTTTCTTTCAAACCAGTGTGTTGAGTATTAACATCTTCAACTGATCAAACAAATTTGTTTAATCAAAAATAGAAGCAGGCTCTATGCTTAACATTCAAGTGGAAATTTACTACTTTTTCAGATCCTATATCACTGGTTAGGGATCATCGGGCAAAGGAGGTATTAACATCCCATGGTGTAGCAGTTCGATCTTTCAATGCAGATTTACTTTATGAACCCTGGGATGTAAATGATGCTCAAGGACGTCCTTTCACTACATTTACCGCTTTCTGGGAAAGATGCCTTAGCATGCCCTATGACCCTGAGGCTCCACTTCTTCCTCCTAAGAGAATCATTTCAGGTTGGTGTCCATTCGATTATGTTATTGACTTATTAATATCCATTATCAATCATTTTCCCTCTTTGAAGCCTTTTAGCTTTTCTTTATTGACCTGAAATTACAATGAAACTGCATATTATCCTTGTTCAAGTAGTACATATTTATTGTGTCTCTCTGTTTTAGGTGATGCAAAATCTTGCCATTCGGATCAGTTGGTGTTTGAAGATGAATCAGAGAAGGGAAGTAATGCGCTTTTAGCTCGAGCATGGTCACCTGGTTGGAGCAATGCTGATAAGGGTTTGACCACATTCATCAATGGACCTCTGCTCGATTACTCTAAGAATAGAAGAAAGGCTGATAGTGCCACCACCTCATTTCTCTCTCCCCACTTGCACTTCGGGGAGGTGAGTGTGAGAAAAGTCCTCCATCTTGTCCGCATCAAGCAGGTTCTATGGGCCAATGAAGCGAACAAAGCGGGCGAGGAGAGTGTTAACTTGTTTCTCAAATCGATTGGTCTGAGGGAATATTCAAGATACTTGAGCTTTAACCATCCTTACAGTCTTGAAAGGCCTCTTCTTGGGCATCTAAAGTTTTTCCCTTGGGTAGTGGATGAGGCCTATTTTAAGGCATGGAGACAAGGTAGAACTGGTTATCCATTGGTGGATGCTGGAATGAGAGAGTTGTGGGCCACTGGCTGGCTACATGACCGGATAAGAGTCGTAGTTTCTAGTTTCTTTGTAAAGGTTCTGCAGCTTCCATGGCGATGGGGTATGAAGTATTTTTGGGACACCCTTTTAGATGCAGATTTAGAGAGTGATGCTCTTGGTTGGCAGTATATATCCGGTACTCTTCCAGACGGTCGTGAATTTGACCGCATAGATAATCCACAGGTTTGAGTGAAATTCTTGTTAACTGTGTTGCAGATTGCTATTTGGCTTCTGATGCACCCTAACATACAAATATAAGCTAGTTATAATGATATAACTATTTTTCCATTTTCTAACCTCATTCCATATTTAAGTTGACGTGTTAATCTCATCATGAACTTGTACTTTTTAAAGTATTGTCATTACCAGTAAAGTTTATCAAAGTACATGTTGTTAGTTTTCATATTGTAGAGAAGATTGTTGTTGAGATCATGGTATTTGACCCTTCTGTCTAAACCTCATAGTTTTTGGTTATCGAAGCAGCACATAATATGTATAACTTAATTTTTTAAACCTCAACTACACTTGCATGCATAATGATAAATTTGTAAATGTTGCAGAAGGAAATGGAAGCTTTCATTGCAGCCATTTTTTAATCTCCTTTAGTCCCTCTTATCCAGTTTCATTGCAGCCGTATGATGCAAGCATGTTTGAAATCTATTACATGGATTGTTATCTATCCAGATTCCTTGGATGATATATAGAGCCAGTTTTCTTATCCAGTTAAAGTTTTTGACAGTTTGAGGGTTACAAATTTGACCCACATGGAGAATATGTCCGAAGGTGGCTTCCTGAACTTGCAAGACTGCCGACAGATTGGATTCATCATCCATGGAATGCTCCTGAATCTGTACTCCAAGCTGCTGGAATTGAGCTCGGATCAAATTATCCTCTGCCGATTGTAGGAATAGATGCTGCAAAAGACAGGTTGCAAGAAGCGCTTTCGGCGATGTGGCAGCTCGAAGCAGCTTCAAGAGCGGCAATTGAGAATGGAACTGAGGAAGGCCTTGGAGACTCTACTGAATCTGTGCCATTTGCCTTCCCTCAAGACATACAAATGGAGGAAAGCGTTGAACCTGCTAGGAACAATGCTCCAGCTACAACTCGTCGATATGAAGATCAGATGGTTCCTAGCATGACTTCTTCTTTGGTGAGAGGCATACAAGACGAAACTTCTTCGGATCTTAGAACTTCAGAAGATGATAGCAGAGCAGAAGTTCCAAGAAACGTAAATGTGCATCAAGAAACACAAAGAGGCACATTAAATCAAGGAGTTCAGCAGACCGGTCGGAATAACAACACTTTTCTGCAATTTAATCTCCCGATGGGGGTTGGAAATGCCGAGGATTCCACAGCAGATTCATCTACTAGCAGTAGTAGGAGAGAAAGGGATGGAGGAGTTGTTCCGGTTTGGTCTCCTCCAGCTTCTAGTTACTCAGAGCAGTTCACTGGTGATGAAAACGGTATTGGTACGAGCTCATCTTATTTACCTAGGCATCCGCAGTCCCACCAAATACTAAATTGGAGACGTTTATCCCAAACCGGGTAAGAACATTTAATTCAGTTTCCAACGATTGTCTAATATTTCCCCTCATTTCCTGCACATGGTTGTGCTAAAAAAGCCAATACACATAATTAGTGTCAAAGAAATTCGGACCCAATCTCATCCTGCCTAATGGCTGAAGAAATGAAGATGCCTCATTTGAGAACTTTTTCTTACTAATTAGCACAGCTTTGCACATTAAATTTCTTTATGTCTAGGACTGGGATTTCTAAAATACTTGAGATGTACCGAACTGATCATTTAGTGGAACATAAACACTACTGAAGCATAACCATGACTAAAATTCGACTCATATTGATCCCTTTTATAGGGAAACACTTCCGAAGACCGGAATCTTGTAGTCGGAGAATGCTAGAATGGCTAGTGTTGTGGGCTGATCGGGTGATAACATGGCTTCATCTACCACATATGTTATCGCCTTTCTAAGTCGATCGGTAGTTGATATTCTGTGTATGAAACTTAATATTGATACGCCGCTGGTCTACGTACAATCTCTCTTCCATGCTGTACCATATTACATTATCATGTTGTATAGTATTTTGTTTCCTTTATAAGATAGTGAAGAGAGTCCTGGCTAGAATTTAGAATTGTGTATTCCTCAAATAAAACAATGTTTATGGATTTACTCTAAACTGATTTTAAGAAATAATTGTACCGTAATTCATATTTAAATGGTTTTCCATTCTCTTAGCACATGAAAGCGGTTGGAGTTTAATATGACACGTTCTTAAAGTAATTTTTTTCATTTTAAGACTTTTCACATAAATTGTATTTTTTTGGATTATATAATCGTTGTTATTTTGTAACAATAACTCTAAATTTGAAATTTGCTTATTTCCAAATTGATTTTTATTTGTACCTTTTTCGTGTTTTGAAGTTGTTTGTAACAAAAGCATCGATCAACAAGCCTAATCAAGTATCTTAAAGCTGGATGGAAACAATCCATCATCCATCCATGAGAGTTGGATGCCTACGGCTAAGGATCAGACTCGAAAGTTTACATAAAGATCATTGTAGGTGCTTTTGGCACTCTCTTCAGGCTTTTCTGGTTTAGGTACTCGAAGAATACTGTACACCAAAGTGGCAGCCATTGCTCCGAGAATGGGAGCTACAATGTACACCCAAAGGTTTTTGTAAACACCAGAGACAACTGCAGGGCCTACACTACTTGCAGGGTTCATTGAAGATCAGGTAATATTCCTGCCAAATTTATGGAGTTCATAAAATTTTACGAGAAAAAGATTAACAAAGTGAGCTTACCAAGCTACAATGACATTAAAAAGCACTGTTGCACCTATTGCAGCCCCAGCTACTCCTTTGCTCTGCTTTGGTCCATCAAATATTCAAAATAACTGTAATTAATATGTTTAGATAAAAGATAGTTGATTCATGAGGAATTGAAAGAAAATAAAACAAAGTTAAAAAACTCTCAGAACTATGGTATAACTTAAATCAACATACCGCTCTATCATCAGTAGCGATCGCGCAAATGTTGAGCATCAATATGAAAGTTACGATAAATTCCCATACAATGGCTTCAAGATCACTAGTTGAATCTTTGTATTGGTTAACTGTTACTTCAATATTATGTTGGGCATGAAACAATATCCTGAGGGTCAAGCTAGCTAGAGTGGCCCCCAGCAATTGACACACCAGATATATAGGTACCTTGACAGATAAGGAAGCCGAAGTTTCAATGCATGAAAATATGTTGCAGCAAAACAGTACAAGTGTTTCATAACTAAAGATTTCTTACAAGTTGCCATGCAAATTTGCAACCGACAACCAGGGCTAGAGTGACAGCCGGGTTGAAATGGGCACCGGAGATATGGCCAACAGCATATATTGTTGCCATCAGACCATGCCCCATACTAATGCTATGCCAACTATAGTCAGTGGTTTGGTTTTGTTTACAATAATTGACGCACAACCTATAAAGACAAGAACGTATGTGCCTACAAGCTCCGCAACAGCCTGTTTACACATTTTAATTTAGCAGAAGAGTTCAATAACATTGTTATGTATGGTGGTGAAAATACGTGACAGACAAGAAACAAGCACATCGTCTTATACCTTCTGCATGATTGATGGAAGAATGTCATTGTTCATGCAAAGTTATCGTGGATGTATACCTTTTGCTACTTCCATAGTAGAGTATTTTGTGGGCAGTGGAGGTTTAGGGGTCGCCTCTTCTATGGAGTGTTTCGTAGGCGAAAGTTTAGAGGAGAAATCTTCAGAAAACAAAGACATGTTCGCCATTGTAGCTCTGAGAAACTATAGACCAAACTGCAGTTGCAGAAGTTGGTTCCAAGTAGCCATTATATTGAGGGACACTTGATTAAATTGCTATGGATTCGATATTTTGGTTTCATTGCACCAGAATCAATCTAGGTTCTTTTTTTTCAATTAAAAACAGACCGATTCAAGCGTTCGGGAATCAGTTGATGGTATCAAAGATTTCAACTTTTTCAACTTTTGAAATATGGCCACTTCCCGAGAGACAAAGACAGCCAAACATTTTTTATTTATTTATTGTGTGATAGTTTACTGGGAACACTGAAACCAAATTCTTGGTCGGCAAATCGTAGTCAACTAAGAATTCCAAGTACTTGTCCCTATCACTAAGGCTGGACAAATAGAATAAGTTAAAATTCAGACAGAAGATCAAGGGGAAAAAGACTGTTACTTATTTCTATGTTTGGGAGTCATTACTTTGTTCCTATGAGGTTCAATCTTCATCATTATGATTATAGGATTCCTAGGCAGGTCTGCTTGATTGCTACTCCTTTATATTTTAATATCTGGCATTTTAAATGGTTTTATTTTTATATAAATATAGATCAACCAAAAAGGTTGACACTTTTTTTTTATATTTAAATTGATTTTTGGACTCTTATCTGTCATTTCGTGTTTCAAAATATGCCTTCTTCTCCTGGCCACCTTAAGTCACTTTCTCCCTGCACTGGACCCCCTTGCCGAACGGAGACATCACCGCATAATATACTAATAAAAATAAATAAAGGATTGCAGACCACAGTTTAAAATACCTTTTGTGTAAAAATCAGCTAAAGGAATTGTTATTATTCTTAAAAGTCACAGGTTCGAGCATCAATAGCTGTAACAAAATGAATGAACGTTCATTATCAAATGGTCGAGTATTTAAAACAGATATACTTTGTAATTATCTTAACTTAATAAAAAATACCATTTTTAGTCCGAAAGTAGACGGGAAAGTGAATCATAATTATAGACAATCTGAACAACATGATCTAAGCAATATTTCATTCTCCCTCATCTACCAATTGGAAGCTTTAGCTTTACAAACTTTTAAATACACCAAGATAATGGCGAGATTTATTTGCCGCATACATGAGTCATACGTTTTACATATATTATCTTAATGATTTGCAGCCTCCTCCATATGAAATCATTTCTGGTTGATTTGTGTTGACGTATATGGTGGTTATGGTGAGTTGGATGCTGATGTCACCTGTTAAGTGTTAGCGGTGAACATTCCAGAATTGGATATTTGTTAGGTTTGTTATTTAAGCATTTCCTCATGTAAAATGCCCCTATATAAGCATTCCATCATCATCAATGAAATACACTGAAGTTCAATGCTTTAAACCTTATTTTATTCATTCTTTAAAATCCCATTGTCTAACATGGTATCATTCGCCTCTCGTCCCGTTGATGGTTTTGCTTCCGTTGCCGTCTCTTTTCTCCGCCTCCGTTTATGTGTTATCTTGTTTCCTCCGGTGTCGATGGATACCTTGTTAATCTCGGCTTCCAAAATCTTCACAAACAAGAAGGTTGCATTAACTTAGATGAATACAACTTTTTGTTGTGGAAGCAACAAGTTCTGCTTGTTGCGCGAAACCATAGACTCGAGAAGCTTTTGACTGGTGCTGCTCAATGACAAACGTCGTAATTTTTAAATAATTAATCATTTTTCTCATATAATTATGTTTTAAACGTAATATAGGGAAGAAAAGTGTATGTCCATAAGGATTCAGAAATTTTTTACTCTGATTTAATATGATCTTGAACTAAGAAATCTGTAAAACAAAAAGATTAAAAAGATGAGGGGTTTTTAATAATCAAGTAAACTAAATAAAATAAAATTAAAGTAACGAAAGCAAGAAAAGAAAATTATAGAAAAATTAATTATGATGAGAGATAGCCTCTAGCTTCGCTTTGCTTCAATTCGTCTCGATCACTGAAATAGATTTTACTTCGAATACTTGTCGGTTATAGCCTACAAGTCCCAACCTTTGTAATTTGCTCTTCTCTCCGGTGAACTAATTTTCCAAATTCAATCTTTGAAATCTATTGGAATCTAGTACTTGTTTGGATTAACAATGCCTATTGATGTTAATGCCAATGTTGGTTTAAGAACTGGAAAAGCCCGTTGATAACCATCGTTTTGTTATCAAAATAATTTCGTCTTCTTAATTAAATAGAAAGAAAGAGGTAGTATAGAAAAGCAGGGTCGATCCACAGAGACTATGGATTTTGTGATTTATTAAAACTGTTTCTTGATTTCAAGAAAAGATAGAATTCCAGGTAAAATTGAAAAGATATAATAAAAATAAAATAAAAAGGGAAAATAATAAATAATGATTTTAAAAATAGTAATAAATATGAAAGGGGGTTTTAAATTATATAAAGAAGTATAATGAAATAAAAATTAAATAAACAAATAAACAAAATAATTGAATTGGGATAAAGAAAATTTATTGTGAAAGCAGCCTCAGACTTCAGTTTCGCCTCAAATTCATCGGATCATCGAAACATATTTTTACTTCAAGATTCACGTTGGCTTACAAGGACAATTCTTCGCTGCCAACTCGGATTGTGTTGTTCCAACAATAACTGATTCCGATCTCAGTTTTCTCTTAGCAAACAATTTTGTTATGTGTGTTCTCGAGAAGTTGAATATGCTTAAATAAGCAAATAGTTATTCAAACGTTAACCATAACAATATCCGAACCAATGTCGAAATTGTTTTGATTTGAAAAGTAAGCTCTGAAAACAGAGAGAAAAATTCGAAGCGATTTAAGTACCTTACAATTTTCTCGTTTGGAATTGAGTATTCGCTTTAGCCCTCGGCTTAAAAAAAATTAGCTAAGCATGACCAATGTCATACTTAGCATAATTGAAAACAAAATTCTAAAAGAAAATAAGAAGTAGACACAAAATAGAGAGAAAGCTAGAGAGAAAAAGAAGATTTTATTCTCAGATGAGAGAGATATGTTTCTAGGCTTACCCTGAGAGGGTATTTATAGCCTTCAAATTCCTAAAAACAAGCTAAAACATCTTAAATCCTAATTAAAACACTTAAAACTATATAAACTAAAATACCTAAAACAAAAATAATATTTAAAATAATATCCTAAATCCTAATTAAAATACTAAAACCTATTTAAACTAAAATATCTAAAACAAAGATAAAATATAAAAATAATATCCTAAAACTTAATTAAAATACTAAAACCTATTTAAACTAAAATACCTAAAACAAAGATAAAATATAATATTTAAAATATTATCCTAAAACTTGATTTTAATCTAAATCTGAATTTCAGAAACGTGCGGCCAATCCATTTGTGCTTCTAGAAATGCTGACTAGATCTTCTAGAAGGTGCTGACATCATCGCCTCGTCGGATGTTTCATGTCTG